CCGCCCCTCATGGGCTTACCCCCATACAACAGCAATTACCATCAACCCCGCCCCATAGAGCCCGTCTATGGGTTTCTCCCCCCTAACCCTCAGTACAACCAGTACCCTCAGTACAACCAATACCGCCACCAGTATCCTCAGCTCCCCCGATACCCTCAACGCCGCCACCACTTCCCACCCCACCACCAACAAGTTACCCTCCAGCTGCTCCAACAACAAGTGGCCCAGATCCAGGGGGTGTTTGCCCAGCAGCAACAGCAACAACAACAAGCAGAGCAACAACAAAGAAAGCGCAAGGCGCAATTTGTAAGTTATCAGTTTGGCTCTGTGGCTTTGTGGCTTTTTGGCTTCTAGGATGTCTGTCTTCTAGGATTTCTTTCTAGGATGTCTGTGGATGTTTTCTAAGATCTATTTTCTGAAAGTCTTCTTTTGCCTTCTGGGATGTATTTCTTTTAGGATGTCTGTTTTACATGATGTATTTCTCCTAGAACGCCTGTCCTACGATATCTTCCACGATGTCTTTCTTCTAGCATCTCTGCCTTCTACGATGGCTGTCTTCTAGAATGTGTGTCTGTAGGATGTCTATCTTATAGGCTGACTGTCTTCTAGAATGTCTGTCTTCTAAAATGTCTGTCGTCTAGAATGCTTGTTTTCTAGAATGTCTCTCTTCTAGTATGTATGTCTTTTAGGATGTCTGTCTTTTAGGATGTCTGTCTTTTAGGATGTCCGTCTTTTAGGATGTCTGTCCTTCAGGATGTCTGACCAAACCGTTCTGGTTAAAACTTTCAAATTTATAGAGGATGTTCCTTTTCGGTCCCTTGACTTACCCTGTGATCGCCGAAGTTTTAACCAGCAGGGCAACCAACCTACGGGCCGCCAAAGTCAGACATTCGCTAAAATTGGCACAAATATCTATCTAGAGCCAGGTATCGATTTGCCCAAGTACTTTCCTTTAATCTCATCGGTATCAAAATAGAATTGCCTAGCCTTCTTTTTACCTCAAGTTCACCGCTGCTTCCTGGGATCCAGCCAAACAAGCGAGCTGTTTCTCGAATGTGCCAAGCATTTTGTGAGTCCCGAATTAATTTCATGTCGAAACGATTTGTGTAGGGACACGTCTCTGATCTGTAACAAATCTCCGAACAAGCATTTAGAATCTAGCCCTGCAGAGGTCGTGCCCGGACGTCTCTGTCTGAAAGGCAAGCCGCAGGACACTCAATTTATTAATTTGATCCATCACTTTTTTTATTTCTAGGAATGATGGCAAAAGATCAGGATAAAAATGGCTCCAATGGCTGGTGAAATATACACAAAAGTACAATGAAATTCAAAAGACACGTCAATCAATTTGGATAAAATATTTTTTCCTGATTTAGTTTGGCATTGTGATTATTAACAAGGTAGATGTACCCAAGACCACGTCCTGCGTAACGGGCTTCACCATTCACCATACCTGACGAAACA